CCTGTAAGGGGGAAATCTAACATCCAGGTTTAGAAAGCAACACGTTTCTGCAGGTGGCAAAGCCGTGGCTGGTGGTAACTAAGAAAAGTTTCCCCATCGGACGTGGTCTGCGGCTGGCGGTCTCCTCTCATTTCCCGTACCCACCGGGCGAGCAGGGCAGCAAAGCCCATTGGCTCCCCACGGCATGCGAATGCTGCCTGAGCCCCAGAGAGGAGCTGGGATGAAGAGGGCACCTGCCCTGTGGCAAGTAAAGTGGGATCCTGGCAACCTGTTCCACCCTGTCCTGGGAGGGAAAGGAAAAGGGAGGCAGGGGAATGCACAAGAGGGCACAAGGGAGGCTAAGGTTCATGGCTGGGTTCAGCCGGGCTTTGCAAGAAGCCGGAAGGAAGCCCTGGCCAGCCCCCCCCCACACACACACCCCTTCTTCTCTTTGCTGTCCACTCCGCCTTGGGGATGGCCCAGAAGGTAGAGCGTTGTGAGTGGGACAACATCCAGGCAGCCCTGCTGGAGAGGCGGGGGGGGCGATGCCCTGGGGGTTGGCCTCTCCCTGGCCAAGACCTCCTCCCAATGTGAGCCTCGGTGGTCTCCCTCCCAGGCATTACCTGCAGGCAGCTTCTTGCAACTTCCCCGGCTGCTTGGCGCTGAGGTAAGGCCGCCCGGCCGCCAGCACTTTATTCAGGTCACTCTCTCCTGCAAGGAGGAGAAGAGGAAAGAATGAGCAGGTGTTGGCTTCCGCCCACGCGGGAAGAGCCAAATTCTTGCCCTCCGACCCCCCCCCAGCCGTCAGTCTCCCCCTTCCCAGGCACTCACCAAGGTCCAGGGTTTTGCAGAGCGACCCGAGGCCCTGGAGCACGGCCAGCTGCAGCTTGAAGGCCAGGGTGTGGCTGTAGACGGGCCCAGCGCGGGCGCTGACGGGCGCCTGGGAGGCCAAGGAGCCGGCCAGCTTGGGCAGGACGTCTTTGGAGAATCGTCGCCGGAGGAAGTCGCCGCTGTGGGCTCCCAGGGTGCAGAGCACCTGCCAAAGTCCCACCAAGGAGCCTCGTGAGGTACAGAGAAATCCCGCGGGGCTTGACCGAGCACCGTCTGCAGCTCGGGATGGTGGCCGGGAGGGGTCTTAGGAGGCCAGCCAGCCATATTTTGCACACACACCCCTCCTCAAAGGGTGTCCAGAGCTCAGAAAAGCTCTTTAGGTGATGATGAGGATGATGGCTGCACTGTAATTCCCAGAATGCTCTGAAAGCTGAGCATGCTGATTCCTCACTGAGTTGGGGTAACCTTCTGTAGAGGATGGATTCTGCCCCTTCCCTTCTGCCTGTCTCCCCGCAACTTGCCACGTTCCTTACTCGCCACTCCTCTGACGCTTCTTGGGATCACCGTGTCTCCAAAGCCACCTCTTCCCCTTCTGCCTGTGAGACCACACTGGGGGTTCCCAAGCTGGAGTAGTCCAGATGTTCATGGACTGCAACTCCCAGAAACCCCGGGCAACACCACTGGCAGTGAAGGCTTTTGGGAGTTGCAGTCCAAGAACCGTTGGGTGAGGCAAGGCTTGGAAGCACTGGGCTACGAGGTGCAGAAAGCTGGCCGGCCCACTGAGTTCAAAGGAGCTTACTCTCTACGAACTGCAGGGCAGGCCTGTAGGTGTAGTAGAGGCGCCCATGAGCATCTGGCTGCCTTCATCAGGAACTATCCATCCTGATGAACGGCTCAGAGGCTGCCCTACAGAAGAACTCCTCCCTGGAGGCCCCCTGCTCCTTTCCCTCGGGTCTCCCACTCAAATAATACGGATCAGGCTCAAACCGTGGTAACCAGTGTTTTCAAGATGGGATACGACGGCCCCCACCAGTTAGCCAAGCACTTCCAGGAGGGCCCCAGAGACACAGCTCCCCCCCCAACCTCATTTCTGCCCCCACTTTTTGGTGCCTGGCTAGAGGTAGCCTTGTGGCTTCATTGTGAGTTCCCACAAGCTTGCAGCTGCCTCACGACAAAGCCTTCCTGAAGGCATCATCAAAAGAGCCTCCTGCAAGCCATGTGGGCCCGAGGCCATCGTGAGCGCCACCGAAACCTGTGATGCATCGCCACATCTACGACACTCCCACCACGCCTGGAGAGGGCCAGCACCTGCACCGTACATGAGGCACCTTCCCTGTTTCACATGGATTTTGCCCGACTTCCAAGTCTCCTCATTTGTCATTACAAGACCATTTTGCTGTCCCGCATTCCACTTTCAGCTGCGAGCGGAAGGAAGGAAGCCCCATTTTCTCAGGGTTCACGTTGGTTCTCTCACCTCCACTTCCATCGCCTACGAAGTGCCAGCCGAGCGACCAGCGATCCGCACGCACTCTGCATACAGACAGCCCAGTACCCCACCCTCCTGTGGCCCTCCCTCACTTTCTGCAGTTCTAAAAAAGAGGCCAGCATCAAAGGGATTCTGATAATTAAAAAGATCGCCTTCCCTGTGGCTTGGCAGCCTCTCTCTCAAACGGTTGGAAGGTAACAGCGGCGTTTCCCAGTAATGGGTTCTTCTGCCTGGTCCTTCAGACGGTTGCCTGAGCTCGAGGGCGTGTGTGTGTGTGTGTGGCCTGCTCAGGGATTAAATCTGCAAAGCTGGCAGGGCAGCCCCGGCTCCTCTTCCCTGCTTCTGCATCCAGCTTTAATCACCCAAATCATTTGCACTTCAAACACTCTTTGGAGAAGAAGCCCAGACCCCAATATCAGAACCAGAAGCCGGAGGGCACACCTCCCAAACGAGGGGATCCTCCTGGTTGAAAAGTGGTCACTGCTGGAACATTTCAGGGGGGGGGGAGAAAGACACAGAACGCCTCTCAGAGAGCACCACGGTGTGAGGTGGGAGGAAATGCCCAAGAAGACCAGGATAGGAGAGCTTTTCTATGGCCCTTTGTGCCGTCTCTGTGTGTGGCCTTTGTTTTATACAAGATCAGATTGGTGGGAAAAGTACAGCCTGTCGCAGTGTCTTTCCCTAAGGTCATCTGCCTGTCCCACCGGATCCTCTCAGGCCAGGCTCCTCCGGGGAGCCACCCTGAGAGAGGCCCGAAAGTCATCTACTAGAGGCAGGGCCTTCTCGGGGATGGCCCCGAGGCGATGGAATCAGCTCCCAAAAGAGCTCCGCCCGGCCCCTCCCTGTGCTCATGTAGGAGGCCGTTGAAAACAGGGCTTCTCAGGGAGGACTTTCACATCGACACCTCTTCTGGCTGAAAATTCACCAGCTTAACTGTTCCGCATGGGAGTTCTGCCCAGAATCTCCCACCCTTCCGCTTTGCCGGATGACCACGGGGCGTTCTAGGAGCCTGCTTGAGCGTTAAGATCCCCAGGGAGACTTTTTCTCTTGGTCCCACCACCTTCACAGGTATGTTCGGTGGGGACATGGGAGAAGGCCTTCCCCTGTGGCTGCTCCCAGAGATTGTGGAACTCCCTCCCACTGGAGGCCAGACTGGCTTCATCTTGGCTGTCCTTCTGCAAGCAAGCAAAGGCTGGTTTTCCCTGAGTGACTGGAAACCAATGGATTGTTGTGTTTTGAAATGTGTTTTCAGTGTTGATTTTATTTGCCCCTTTTAATATAACACTTTTTAAAAAAATATTTATACATCTACCATTCTTAGCTTTTAAATATTGTCGCTGGTTTTCCCTGAGTGACTGGAAACCAATGGATTGTTGTGTTTTGAAATGTGTTTTCAGTGTTGATTTTATTTGCCCCTTTTAATATAACACTTTTTAAAAAAATATTTATACATCTACCATTCTTAGCTTTTAAATATTGTCATTTTAATGTTGTAAGCCAACTTGGGTTCTTTTAAGGAGAAAGGTGGCCTAAAAATATTTTAAACAAACAAATAGGGCACAGGCAGAAAGGACCCACATTACATAATGCAGTCTTAATCTGGACACACTATTTGTTTCTGTAGGCACACTACCTGTCCTGCAGTGTTGATGACTGACATGTTCACCAGTTCCAGCCTAAATGTAGTTAACTCTTTCTTCAGTTTGTTGTTCCATCTGAGTCAGAACAGCCATTCAGGCGAGTGGCAACACTCTATCAGGCAAAAGTCCTTCCCATGTACTCTGCTTGACTTGAGATTATTCTGGACCTCCACCTCCAAGATGCTGTGGCTTAAGAGATGTGTCCTAGATCTAGAAAGCACTTAGTGTATCAACACAGACTTAAATGTTAATATTGCAAAAATGATCAACACCATCACCTCCTAATACAGGCTGTTTGTGTAAACAAGCCAGAATACAATTGCAGAAGCTACCATGCCTGGGGGAGGGACTCTGGACAGGCTGTTCCCAGGGATGCAGACCATACCACCGGCACTTCGTGGGCTGGATCCGAAGGCTCCCCGGAGCTGCTATGAAATCAGACGAAGGATTCCTAAACCCACCCACCCCCTGGCTGCCTGCCTGCCTTGCGGGGCTGAGCAGAGCTGTGATCTTCATTAACTTCCCCAAGCACACAGATACCGGGGGACGGGGTGGATCAGGCAAACCACCTGGGGCAGGACTTCCCTGGGATATACAGCGCCTAGCACAACCCCCCCGCCTCCCGCACGCGGCTTATTGCCCAAAGGTCTGGGTGTTTGCAGGACACTGAAGGCAGGCTACTGAGGTGACATCCCGGATACTACTATCCAGCCTCGTGGGCCACTGAGGGGGGAGACTCTTTAGCGCCTGTGGGCAGGATGGAGGCCAAAATAACTCTTGCCCCCTCCAGCCCCAAATAATTTCAGCCACAACTCTCACAACCCATGAAGAGGATGGAGATCCAGGCCAAATATCTGAGGGGGCGGATGGGGGGAAGTGGGCCGCGGAAACCTCCAGGAAGGCCAAGAGCGATAGGTCTGGCCTCCAGCACTAAGAAGGGGCTTCCCCTCTGCCGTGAGGACAGCCCCCAAGGTCCCCCCCCCACAGCACGGCCGCTCGGAGGCTCCGTACCTTCAGACGTACACGGAGCCTCTCGGCCGAGAGCAAGTGCACGCATCTCTCCATCACGTCCTTAGCCATCTGGGCGGGGAGCGGCAGCCGGCTCTCCTCGGCATCCCTCTGCTCGTCCGCTTCGGGCTTTGGAGCTGGCCGTGGCTCCTCTGTGGAGTCAGAAGGGAGGGTTGACAGGCCCCGCGGACCCCCCCTCAAAACCCCAAGAGGGGCACTGGAAAGGAAGGCGGCCCATTGCCCGCTTGGCCATGCACAACCGGGGTTCAGAGGTTCTCTTATAACAGTGGTTGTTCATTCCCGCTCCCCCCCCCAAGATCCCCATATGAAGTCTCAAACACGTGCACGCTGAAGGGTATGGGGCAGGAGGGGTGCCCCCTCAGGCTGAACCCAGCCTC